TATATATATATATTTACTTAGAGATGACCAAAAGTTCTAATCCTTATCAGACAAGGTAATCTATTCAGGCACATTGAATGAAATATAGTAAATTATGTTTTCATAAAACAGTGCTACGTATATAAGATTTTAACTCGTCATAAACTCTACAAAATCATATGTGAGAAAAAATATTTTACAAATACTTTCGACCAATATCAATAAGCACAATGTTCAGTAACATATACCATGCTTAGCTATCGGTATCGAATAGTCGCCTATCAATAAATTGACTTGAGTTCCTTTAAAGTTTTATGAAATTCTGGTTTACTATATCTCATTCACAAAGTAAATATGTTCTATAAATTTTATTGAGATTATGTTAATTTATTCTCTTAAATAGATATATAAAAAAAAATAATAAAACTATTTAAATTTGAAATGATTGATTTATTTAATTTAAATTTTAGTGGTGAACAAGCTCGTCTACAACGAATAGCTCAATTAATAAATAAATTACCTGATATAAATCTTTAGGTATTTGTATTGGATGTAGTATATTATATGGTAAAGATCAATCATCATCCCAACAATCGTTTTCAAATTCTTATGCAGCTACTTCAACTATTCTTGAACTTATGATTATTCATCATAAACAATTATTTACAAATTCTTCTCAACAAGAACAAACGTCGAAATCATTTAAATGTCAACCTGACCTTATTCCAACTGAATTTCATTCCGTATTTTTTTTTGATTTTTTTTAAAATAATTTTTCTTTTCGTTTTTTTATAGAAAAGTCAAAGTGTTTCAAATGAAAATTTATTAGATATTCAAAGTACACCAGGATATCCTCAACCGTATGTTATTTATTCTATTCAAATAAAATAAAATAAAATAAATGTAGATCTTCTGGAACACATCGAAAAAATAAAGCACCTCGTCCACCAACGTCATCTTCAATTAATCAACAAACATCAGTTGAACAAGTTAATTATGAAAATATTTCATCTGATTTTCATTTAAATAAGATAAACAAATAAAACAAATGCTTATATCAAGAATCGTCTTCCGAATCTAATCGGATCAAGAAATTATGAAAAAAATTTGCAAGAGGTTCTGTTTCTTTTTATGCTCGCTTTTATTGCCATATATATATAAATAACTGTTCGTTAAATCAGTATATTCTTTGCTTTCTTCGTTCATTGTTTAAATAAATATAAATAATCAACATTGCTCTTTCGATCGTTAATAAAACTTAAAAATAATCATTTTGAAAACAATTAAATAAAATTATATTATTTTAGTAACAAGTTCATGAAGATTTAGTCCGAATGATAAAATTCATTGACGTACACCAAGCGAAGGAACACAATTAGATCGTCCTGGAGCACCATCACTTCTTATATCAACTTCACCAACAGTTCAACCACGACAAAAACTTTCCTTTCCATTATTAAAAACAAATAATGAACAAAAATTTTCGACGACAATTGAAGATAAAACAATTGAACATGAATCAACAACAGATTTGTCAACAGATTCAACATCAACGATAAATGATGGTGTTAATGTTGGAAAATCAAATAATAATCGAATATCTTCTTTTAGGAATAGCACATTACCTTCATCTGGGATACAACTGATTTCTAGTCTTTTATCATCCGGTGCTTATTTTATTATTATCAGTGACTTATTTAAACTAATTTCATTAATTATTATCTTTTCTTTTCATTTCATTTCGTTTCGTTTTTTTTTTCTTCTATTTGATCGATTCTCTTCTATACATATATATATATATATAAATCAATACATTTCTACTGTTTATAATCAAATGAAACAAACGATTCACAGTTTTTTTTTTAATTTAAATCATCAATAATAATTGTTCTTTTAATGATAAAATTTGTCATTATTATAAGATATGATCATCATTGAACATGTTTAGGCTCAATCAATAATTTAAATATTCTTCTTGTCGAATTGTTTCTTTTTCATAGATCAATATTTTAATTGAATATTTCACTTTTTAAACATTTTTCAAGGGGTAAACAGCAGACTTGGAGTAGAAACGTACGTCAAAGTAACTTCTAGTTCAAACGTCTACCGTGTCTTTCTTGACATTTTTATTTAGAATTTTTCTTTTAATTATTTATTTTTATCAATATTTCAAGGTTATTTTAAACAAGTTTAATTTTTACTTTCGAAAAGATTGTCTCTTACTTTTACATAAATTAATTTTCTACTGTAAAACATATTTAAAAATCAGTCTTATTCTCACAGAATCAACATGTATTATGATCGAAACTTGAAAAAAGAGAACGAGAATCGGTACATCTTCAATAATATTCAGAAGAGATGCAGGAAAACTTATCGTATCCTACTGGAAAGTACCACTACCTGCCCGTACTTCTCGATCTAGATACGGAAAAAATTTTCGTTTTAACTTTTTCATGGTAGTTTTGTTGAATCAAGAATTCATTTATCATTATTATACAAATTGTCTTCATTTTTTGCTTTATAAATACAAATGTTTTCTTGATATTTATTTGAATAATGTAAAAATTTCATCTATATTTATTTTTCAAAACTAAATAATATGCTTATATGAATGAATTTCCACTATTTAGTACAATTGGGATTTTACATCTATGGGTGTAATAACTTTCCTTTTTGTTCAATGGCTCAGTTAGTTTTTTCAATTTTTACTTTACTCTAAGTGTCTTATACACAAAACAAATTCCAGTCCATTAGCCTGTACGATCGATGCTCTAAGAAAGATACATTTTAAAAACAAAATGATATGCTTTTGCTGATCTGTCGAAAGAAAAAGAAATCTCTTGACTATATTGAAACAAGAAAACAGAGTGCAAATAGTTCACTTTTTATAGCATTCAATGCTCTATCAAAATAAGTA